GTCTGTCTTGCTCCTCCGCGTTCTGTGCACCCTGCTTTTTCCGGCCTGCTTATCCATCCTCCACTCACAAGAGCACACTTGGCAGAAGATGTGTTCACGAGGCCTGGGAGTGGCTTGCTCTGGCCGTTCCGAGCACCATCTGAGAGCCACTCCCCGTGCTAGGAGCCAGCAAGTGTCAGCAACAACATGGTATGCGCTGCGGATTTTCTGTTTTGTCTGAGATCTGAGAAACTTCGTCAGGAGTCATCCCTGAATGTCCAGGAGGGTCAGAGCCGGAAGCCCCTGTGGATGCCAGTCTCTTAGGAGCAGTGGTGAGGGCTTGCGTGGCACCCAGCGCATGCCCTGCCCACTTAGATGCACAGTGGCTCGTCCATTCTGTACTGTAACTGCTATGTGAGTAATTATCATGACGGGCTTTAGGAAGGAAATCTGTAGACACAGCACAGACACGAATTTTACCCAGAATATTTGTGACCCACGGGCGTGGCACCGTGGACATGAGGGCCTGCTGTACGTGCGTCATGCATAGATGACCTCCCCAACAGCCCTGTGACATGTGGGACAGGTGTGTGTCCTTCCTCCTCCTGGGCACAGAGCAGCACACAGAGCTGGGGTGGCTGAAGGACTCACCGCAGGGGACAGTGAGCAAGTGTGAACCACACGGTACCCAGGTGTCCCAGTTACTCTTCTCTCATTGCTGGGACAAATACCCGACACCCAAAATGAAGGAAGGAAAGGTTTATTTAGCTCACAGTTACTGGGGGTTTCAGTTCAAACTCAGCTGGCTCCAAGGCAGAGCAGCACATAGCAGAGGGCAACCTTTCATGGTGGAGGCAAAGAGCAAGAGCGCAGAGAGAGTAGCAGCAGCTCAAGCAGCTAACTTTTCTTCCCTCCTTACATTGAAATGCAAATTACCTGCCCAGGGCAGGCAGCATCCACACCCACAACAGTCAATCACAAACTCCTGAAGCTGCCCAAGACTGCATGAGGCTTTGGGGGGACACCTAGACACAAACCATAACATTCTGCCCCTGGACCCCCAAAGACTCATGCACATCCCTTTATGCAAAAGCCATTCTAGTCCATCTCTATGTTGCCAAAGTCCCAACAGTTTCTGCATTGCTGAAGAGTCCAAGTCCCAAGTCTCCTCCAAGATCCAAGACAAACTCTTAGCTGTGAGGTCCTGTACAAAAGAAAAGTTAAACACATCCAACATTCAAAGGCACAAGATAAACATTACCATTCCGAAAGGTAAACACAGCAGGATACCAAGCATTGGTATCCTGGGACCAACACAAGTCCAAAGTCCAGCAGGGCAAACGTTAAGTCCTGCAGTTCCATGAGGGACATCCCAAGCAATCTGTGATGAGCTGTGAGCTCCATGAGGCTCCGCCCCTGTGGCACTCGTGGTTGTAGCTCCCGTGGCTTCTCTCTTAGGCCGGCTTTGCTCCCTCCTTGTAGTTTCCCTTAGACGATCCACGTTCCTGGCTTTTCCAAACTTCTGGGGTTTCCACTGAATAGGCTTCTCACTCACAGCTTCACACACTGCCCTCTCAGGGGCACACCGCCTGGCCTCCCAGGCCTTCTTCTGAAAACGAGGTGGAAGCATTCTTAACCTCAGAGCTCCTGCATTCTGCATGTGCGTAAAACAAGTGCCGCATGGATGATGCCAAGGTCCGCTGCCAGCTGGAGCAGCAGCCACGTTTCCTTCTCTCTTGACTGTAGGGGTCGAGTGCCTGGATCGCTGAGCACTCTGACCTTGATTCCGAGGAATAATTTCTCCACGCTGGTGCCATTCTGGAACCTGGTGTGGCCACCGCTGCCACCATTCTAGAAGAAGGGACTCTGTGGTTTTCCCCTCAAGGCACAGTCCCTGACCTTTGCAGTTCTGAGGCTGCCAAGGGTGGAGACCCGCCTCCTCTGTGATGCCCTCAGGCCATCCCTTCCATTCTCAGGTTCCTTCACGGCAATGGAGATCCTCTCAGCTCCATCTTTGCAGTCCACAGCTTTATTGGAGCTTCCTTTCCGGCCAAGCTTACAACACTTTAAATCCTCCTGCTGGGCTCCTTGCTCTTCATTCTCAACATAAATCTGGCTAAAAGCCCCCAACAACAACCAGGCCACTGCCCCAATATTTGGCTGCTTTGAAATATCTTTTGCCAGACTGATCAGTCCACCATGCTATAAACTCACTCTCAGGCAAAGTCTCTGGACATGAGCAAAATGCAGACAGCTTTTCTGCCAAGTCAAAACACAAATGATCTGGAGTCCAACAGCCAATGCAGTCCTTCCCAGCAGAAACCTCCCCAGCCTGGTCTTCACAGTCCAGCTTCCCATCAGCCTTCTGGTCTTCTGAGCTCTGACCGGAATCTCCCAAACAGAACAGCCGAAGCTGTTCCAGCGCTTCGCTTATAGGCGACATCTCTGAACCTTTCCTATCTGTTCCCATAATCCGTTCCCAAAAGCTTGTAATCCACATGGTCAGGTTTAGCCACAGCAACGACCCCACTCCTGGTACCAAATTCTGTCTTAGTTACTTTTCTCTCCCAACACTCAAAATGAAGGAAAGGTTTATTTAGCTCACAGTTACTGGAGGTTTCAGTCCAAACTCAGCTGACTCCAAGGCAGAGTGGCACATGGCAGAAAGCAACCTTTCATGGTGGTGGCAAAGAGCAAGAGCACCAGGGAGGGGTAGCAGCAGCTCAAGCAGCTAACTTTTCTTCCCTCCTTACATTGAAATGCAAATTACCTGCCCCAGGGCAGGCAGCATCCACACCCACAACAGTCAATCACAAACTCCTGAAGCTGCCCCAAGACTGCATGAGGCTTTGGGGGGACAACTAGACATAAACCATAACACCAGGTCTCCCTGAGTCCTAGCTCTCCCACCTCTGCTATGGCCCTGCCACTGGACAGGGCAGGAGCCCCAGGCTGTCACACTGTGGCAGCCATCCCAGGGAAGCCTCCCGTCACTCACGTAAGCAGCTTCAGGGTGCAGCTGGGGTGGCACAGGGCCTTGCACAGGGTGCGCACCCCCTTCCTCAGGCGGTTGGAGGTCAGGTTCAGTTCCTGCAGCTTCCTGTTCTCTATCACGACAGAGGCCAAGGCCTCACAGTCCTCTGCTTTCAGTTTGCACTTCATCAGCCTGCAGCAAAGGAGAAATGGGACATTCCGTGACTTCTGCCCCCGTGACAGTCCTCAGGCTGATCCTGCACGTCAGGAAAGACTGCTCCATCAGAACCTCACTCCCAATCCCCATCGGCCCCTTACCCAGAAGACAAGAGGCGGCCGAACTCCGATGTGTCCGCGCTTGGCTCCCCTGCTCTCACTGCCCCTGAGGAGAAGCCCCAACTACATGACGTGACCCAGCAGGTCGCCACCTGCTCCCAGGTCCCCGCGTCCCAGCTATCCTGTGTCTGCTCAGGCAGGACTCCGGCACCTGCCCACCCGAGGGAGTGCTCTTCCCTGGGCTGTGCTCGGCAGGGCCCACCAGCCTTCTGCAGAGAGGCCCTGAGAGGACCCCAGCAACACTTGGTATGCACTGATTTGCAGGGCCGCCCTGCCCGGCCGGGCATCGTGCTTCTCTGTTCCTTTGACCACTCTGCTTACTGCTGCTGGCTCACACACACACACACACACACACACACACACACACACGCGACTGAACTAAGGCCACAGAGCACAGAATAAAGAAGTAAACAAGTAAGGCCATTGTCTAGCTGGGAGGGCCTCCAGCCCATACCCCTGACCTCTGACCTGGATGGTTCTGTAGGGATTCATGGGCTGAGAGGTGTTTCTAGCTTTAAGAAATTATTTTCAGGGGATTAAAAACTAGGAGTTGGAGACTGGGCATGGTGGCACACGCCTGTAATCCCAGCTCTTGGGAGGCTGTAAAGAGATCATTTTGAATCTGATCTAGTAGTGAGACCCTGAACACCTTGTAGAACTTTCCCTAAAATACAAAAAAAAAGAAGAAGAAGAAGAAGAAGAAGAAGAAGAAGAAGAAGAAGAAGAAGAAGAAGAAGAAGAAGAAG